CTGATTATGTAAATCAGTGATACATATGGGTTGGGCTATTGATCCATGATGGACTAAGTTTATGTGAGAGTCAATGAAGCTTTAGTCCATATGAGTTATTGGATCATAAGCTTAAGTGTAAGAATTAGAGTTTACATATGACTGGTGGAATTCTACACTATATATGTATTCCCTAAACCCTAAAATCGGAACAAGTGTATTCCACGAAGAGTATAGCCGTTTTTGGTGTGTCAAACCTCTCTCTCAAGTCCTCCAATTGTTGGTGGTGTTTTGTGAACCATTTGATGCATCACATTTGATGTGCTAAGCTCTTGAAAGGCCAAATTCTACAAGCTACAATATAAAGGTATTCATCTAACTTGATTTTATGTTGCAAATATCAAATTGTATGCTAGTTGTAGGCATCATGCTTTGAATAATTTTATTGCATGTATAACTAGAGAAAACTTAGATCCAAAGCATTAGGGTTGTATGTGCACCATAGGGATGTTAGAGTACATACAAGTCACCAAAACCGACATAAGACTTGCAGTAAACATATTGAGTCTGTTTGGCTCTTTACTAAGACAACCTCATCTCAATTATGTCAACAAAATTTTACGCTACCTCAAAACTGCCCAAGACAAATATTATTTTTTCCTTAACTGGTAACCTAACTCTAAATGCCTTATGTGATGCGGAGTGGGTTGGGTGTTCCTTTACTCGACATTCTAAAAGGGATACTTTATCACATTAGGTGGAGCACCAATATCTTGGAAAGCCAAGAAACAATCTGTGATATCAAGGTCGACAGTTGAAGTTGAGCGTAGGGCCATGGCTACTACCGTCAGTGCACTCTTGTGGCTTAGATGGTTACTATCTAATATAGATTGCACCTTAGTCAAGACCAAGACCACTTCATTGTGACAACGAAATGGCTCATCACATTGCTTATCTATTAAGTTTCCTAGTCGATATCCAATACACTATGTTTCCTTATTCTTAGTTTCCTAGTTGTTATTTTATTGTTGCATATTCTCCAAGTAAGTTTACTATATAAATGTTGTCATGGTGTTTTAAATAAATCTAGAAATATGATTCTTCCGGTTTAAGCCTAAACATTGGAATGACGTGGTTTTTGGAGGAACTACTTACAATTTTTTTTTTGCTTGATTCGGTAGTCTCTTTTTCGTTTAATTGGTTTTGTTCTAGAAATAACAACAGTACGAAAAATTATACGATGTGATTGTGCAAACCGTTGATGAACTAGTTGTTTTTTAGTTGCTTCCCTTGGCAAACCCTTTTTATTATTGAAACCGTTCAAAAAAAGGAGTAGATTAAGTTCTTAAATATAGTGAGGTTTTTCTTAAATTTGCATGAAATTAAGTATTGCACTTGCATCTTTTGGATGAAATGATCATTATATTTTCTAAGTTATAAGAAAATACAAACCTCAACCTGGCATGTGTTTCATATTTTTCTGATGAATAATCAAATTCAAAAAAAAAAAATCGTAATAACAAAATTAAAAGAACCTTGTTGACCCACAAAAAAACTATTAATTCCGATCGATGATTAGTAACAAATAAGAAATAATTTTGAATTAAAAAACCTAATAAATATATAATGTTTTCTTATCAATATATATTAAATTTTTAGTTAACTTTTATTTTAAATTAAATTAAGTGAACGAAGGAAAACATTTTTTTTGCATTCTCCCAAAATATTATGTACATTTCCTGATTTCCGGCGCTTAAACAAGGGAAAGTCCGAGTGTCTCTTTTTGTTCACCTACACTAACCTCCACCGGAACTTCCATACAACCCAGAGAAAGAAAGGTCGAGATATTTTTCAAGAGACCTGATCTAAGGGCTCATGATTCCCAATGATACCCACTTCTACCTCCTCACTCCTCCCCTGTTTCTCCTTCTCCTCCATCATTTCCATCTCCGACGTCGACGTATTCTCCGTTGAACTGCTCCGGCAACTACTGCTACCAAACGACGTAGCTCTACTCGAAATGGGTGTTGCCAGAAAAGTCGGTTTCTGTTGTCCGGCCATGATTACAAGATACTTTTCTTCAAAAACAGGCGGCACCTTGTAATTCTCCAGTTTGGAATCGCCGTCGGCGTTACCGGACTCTAGATCTCTGTCAACGTCGTCGCTGTTCTCCAGTTCGCCGGAGAGTTTCCAATAAGAGCAGGCGAGAATCATGAGAGCGAAAGCAATGAGACCCAGCATGGCAGCAAGGCCTCCGAAGAGATACGGTACCGGTGAGTGCCATGGTGAGCGGTGAAAGGCTGCCGGCGGTGATGATGGCGCTGTTGAAGTCGTGGCTTGAACTGCCATCGATCGTTGTTTGTGTTATGTCAGGTGGTTATAGAACCTGATCTTTCGGGTTACATTTATAGAGGGAAAAGAAGAGGATTTATAAAGAAGACAAGGAGCCCACAATGTATTGCCCACAGGCACACACATATTTATGGTTTTTGAAAGTAAAATTTATCTGGAAAAAACAAATAAAACAAGTTTAATAAGAACATAATTTGCAAAGAAATTATCAAAATTTCTAAATGTTTCAACAGACGATTGAACTACATGAGACTACTAAACTTTTTGAGTTAGTCTTTTTTTTTTCTTATTTTTTTTTTATTATAATTTTTTTTTAATATTATTATCTATGTGCATGGACACAATTTACTTGAACTATATAAAAGTTTAACAAATTGTTATATTATTTTATTTTTTATATAACTTTATTATTTTTTATATTATGCAATGAATTTTATAATGTTCAATTAAAAATAATTATAAAACCTAATTTGTAATGTTTATTTAAAGATTAAAATATTTCATTTTTATATCGAATAGCTCAATAGCCATTGAACTTGAAGAAAATATCTAACCATGATTTGGGGGCTATTTGATAATCCTTATATTGGCTCCATTAAGAGTTAATGTTTAATTCGATCATATTCAAACGGTTAGATTCATCATTTTGGTGTCTTTGATTCGGTAAATAAGGTTTTGATTCCTCCAACTTTCGAGATGTCATTGAATAAGAATGTTGACACATTTCCCATAAGCTCTACTTCTCATGTCATTATCTATCTACACCCCAAATAATTCATTAAACCTTTTCTCCAGCGATCCAACCTTCATCGTCACCGACTGCCTCCTGAAGCGTCGTTCTTGCATTGTCTTCCTCCTCTCGCAATGTTAAGCTTTTTCCTTTTCCTTTTTCTTTCCCCTTTTCATTTTTTCTTGAACAATTGTGATTCTTGAAGGATTCTAAAATGGCAGAACGATTCTAAAGTGGAAGAATGATTGTGATGCTTGAATGATTGTGATTCTTGAAGTTTTGAAGTTTTTTTTTCTTGAAATTACCGAAATGGAAGAACGGTTTCAGAATGGCTCTGATACTACAATGCTTGGACTTTTTCTTGAATTTTATCAGAATAACTTTGAATGAGTCTGCTACTTAATGGTGTTCCTTTCGATGTAGAGGAAAAATTTGAAGAATGTTTCAGTATATAATCAATGAGCCTATCTCCTACCTATATAAGGTGTAAAGATTCGACCTTTGATTATCTTCATTCTTTGTTTTTCTTGTATGAATATTATTGTCCCTTTTTTGTGTTCTTGTTTATGGAATGAGCTTAGATATGATTGTGAAGTTGATATTAAGATTGAAAATTAACCTAGGTCTATGTTGATATATGCAATTGATGTTAGTTTATCTCTTAAGTTGTTTGGTAATTTCCGTGTATAGTTTATGTTGTTTTGATTAATGAAACTAAAGAAAAATGATCCTAGTGATTAAGCACATCTTGGTATACTAAATGTTTGGTATTTGAGTCTGGAAGTAAACTTTTGATCCATCTTGTTAGAGTTGCAGTTTATCTCTTAAGTTTTTTTGGTAGTTTCCCTATACATTTTATATTATTTTTGTTACGAAACCAGATGATACTTATAAAAAATCAGAACAAATCTGATGCCACTTGCCAAGTTCTGATGAACCTTGTTAGGAAGTAATGTTGATACCACACGAAAGTAAAAGGACCCAAAGACATAATATTTACCTGCTTCGGTCAAGATGGTCTACGTCTATGGGTAGGAGGGGGGTATTCTTTATTCACAAAGTTCTCAAACAGAGATTACAAGTACAACCGGCAGAGATTCGTCCTACTCACTAAGGATACAAAAGACACACCAAATGACCTAACATGTTACCTTATTTATACTGAACGGATCAGGCCTAAAACCCTAATGGGCCAAGCCCATTAGCCCATAGGACGGTGAATGGAGTCAACTAATCACAATCTTCTATGCAGTAGCTTCTGGAACATTCATCCATGACATACAACACATGAGTATCAACAACACACATGATGGAGCACCATGAGCCATAGTGGAACATCATGATGCATAGGTGGCACATCATGAACACTAGCGGCCCTACATCCATCATGGTGATACAACATGATGTATTCCTTAAGCATCATCGACTTCTGAGCATCATTGAACAATCTTGAGAATCATAGAAAACTTCTTAGCACTCGTGGCTCATGACGGATACCATGAATCATCAAAGAACCAAAATGGCATATCTTACATGATGATGGCCAATCTTATGCAAAGACGGCAGAACATCCTTCAAGCTTGGCGTGACTTCCTTCTAAGTGGCGCAACTTCCTTCCAAGATGGCACAAGATCTTCTAGGTTGGCGCAACTTCTTCCAAGGTGGCACAAGATCTTCTAGGTTGGCACAACTTCTTCCAAGGTGGCAGAAGATCTTCTAGGTTGGCGCAACTTCTTCCAATTTCGCACAACATCTACCAAAGTGGCTCAACATGGTCTAAAGTGGCGCAAAATGTATGCCAATGGCGTAACATGATTGCCTAATGGTGCAACATGCTTGCAGTTGGATCATTACCTAATCAAACGACGCAACTTCGCATCAAGTTGCTCCATTCCACTCCCAAGTGCTCCAAACCTTGTCGAGATGCTCCATACCCTCTTTTAGATGATCCGTTCCTTTGGCACTTGATTCGTTCCTTTGTCAAATGATTCATTCCCTTCTCAGATTATCTGTTCCTTTGTTACATGGTCCATGAACCATAAGTGCTCCATTGATTTCCATGTTCCCATTGAACTAAAATGCTCCATGAGAATGTTTTAAATGCTCAAGTCACACTTAACAATCTCCACCTTGACTTGAGCATCCTATGAACTCCACCTTAAAAAATAACTTCCTCTCCCTTCCTGTCATCAAGCCCTGAAGGAGGTTATGTGACATCCCCAAAATCACGGCCAGAAAAGACCGGTTTAATTTATGCTTTTAAAATGATTTCAGAGTAATCCTTTGATTAAAAGAGTTGCGGAATTTGTTCCCAAAACTAAATATGATAAAATAAGATTTACCAAAGCATTTCATAAAGAAATGTATTTTCGTTATATAACAAAACTCGGGATGTCATGTTCCGATAAACAGACCAAAAGCATAAACATTACAATACAGACCTTACAACAGTTATATAAAACAACAGGTCTATAATCCAAAAATAACTTGACAAGTCATCCAACTTATGCTCTGGCGCCACTACCTGTAATACAAAGAAATCTAAGTGGGTTAGGCTTGGGAGCCTGGTGAGCATATAGGGTTTTCAACCCACAATAAATAATTATATTTAATTCCACCAACCAACAATAACCCAATTACCCATTCCCGTTATTCTCACTTTACGTCCATAAGACAACTAACATAAGGGACCTAGTCTAAGAATATTTCATCGGGGCGACAACACATGCTTCGGGGGT